TTGCTTGTGCTTTTTGCTCATGAAAAAGCTGTGTTGAAGCTAGTTAATAATATGTGTTGGATTGTATCTGCCTTAGGAATAGGAAAACGAGCACATACAGAGCTTCGAATCTTAAGCCGTATAGAGAAATATGCTATTTGCCAAAATTTGCCTAAAACTACTGAAAATGTCACAAAAGCTTAAGGCAGAGAACATAGATCACACATTTCCTGCTTATTAAAATGATATGCTCCAAATGAAACCAGAGAGAGAGAGAGAGAGGACGGCTCGATTAGTGATAAAAAAAGATAAAAATAATTAGATGAGTGGGGGCATATCGACAAATTTCACTAAATTCTGCATGTAATGAATCTCACATCAACAGAAATACGTAATTGAACATGTTAGTTATAGTACCGAAACTGCCTTTTTTCACCAAAATGAATGATACATTAGTATGCAAATAAATGAGAGGAAAATGAGAAATGAATTCAAGAATAGGCTGTCAACTATCTCTTGAACATGAACAAGACTTTCTAAGGTCGTGTTGAAGAAAATCAAAAAATAGAAAAAAGGAAAAGAAAAAAAAAATCCTAGGAAAAAACTTATTCTCCGTAGGAATTGATTTACCTAAGCATAAACAAAACAGAAACGAAGAAAAAAAAGAACATGTAGTGTGGTAATGAGAAGCTAAGAGTTCAATAAAACTAATATGGAGAGTTCAGTGAATATGTTAAGAAATTGCTTTACTTGTGAGAAATTTGAAATGCAAGGCACCCCATACTGAATTTTAGATTTCTAATTAAATGAAGTCGAATGAGAAAAAAAAAAAGTTTGAGTTTGAAAAGTAGTAGAAAGTCAGAGATAACAATTTTGCAAAATGCTCCCTTAAATTTGTGGCCAAGATACACCAATATATTTTCAAAATAGCATACAAAATTTAGAAGAATATATATTTGTGCGTATGGTTAGATTTTGTGAAGCCCTTACTATCGAGGCATGCCAGCGAGCCAAAATTAAATAATATTCTATCCAGTTAAGTTATATAAATATAAGTTAGGAATTAAGATTAAAAAATAATCTTTATAATAAAAAGCCTTTCTTGGCTAAACTTAGAATATATATTTGGAGGCATTCACAATTTTCCCTCACTCATGCCAATCGTGCAAGATAAGCATCTCAAAACCTGTAGGACAAGACAAATAGGCATCTGACCAATCAGGAACGAGCCGCAATTTGACGAGTAATCAAATTCAAGAAAAAATAAATCGCACGATAATTACCTCAGCTCCTGAGGTCGCAACAAAGGCATGTTTGGGCCACTTTTGTCACTAAATGTGTCGTCAGATTTGTGAAAAGATCTAAGTGGAGACGTGAGCATCAAGCCGTGATTTGTTCTCGACGCACGTTTCCAATAAAGCCTCTGCAAATAAATATTTATAATTTCGAGGGGCTTAAGTACAAAAAAGGAAAGTACGATTTTCTTAAAATAGGATTCAAGATTCCAAGTGGTTGGTATAAGTATAAGATTTTCT